TAAATGTGTTTCATGACCTGCTTGCCCCTTGTACCTTTGTATTCTTTTGGTCCCTCTTGGTCGAGATCCTGAGGGTGAGGTCTCGGAGGAATGGCTTAGAGAGGCCATCTCTCCGTCAAACTGAGTGACTCAGAAGCCCATTGTGGGTGTGGCTGAAGGAGCGCCCACCTGGTCCCGTTTTGCGCTCGTGACCAGTGCAGGTTTGGATGGGCCGGCACAGACCGACTGGGAGTCCAGGTCTGGTGTAACTGGGAATGGCAGGAGCTGGAGGAAAGCACTCGGGTCGTACTGAGCCACTGGAACTTGTGCTGCCTGATACTGGGAAGTGATTTTTAAATTTCTGAGTCCAACCATTCCTGGTTAGATGGACTCAGGTGGAATGGGGTAGCAGACAGGTCATCTTTGGAATCCCTCCTCACTCGAGGGTCCTTGGGTAAGCTGGTTTTTCCTGAGTCTCAGTTGTCCTAAGTGTAATGGATACAAGAACGGGTAGAACGCATGGTTCAGAGCTGTGGGATAAATGCTCATCTGCTTATTTGATGCTGGAGCCACACGCAGTTTAAGCCTAAACACATTTGTTTTTCTGATTTTTAATATTTCAAGACCTGAGTAATCAAATAGGTGGGACAACCCCATTTGGTAAAATAGGGATGTTGAAGCCAGACCATGTTGGGCAACTTGGTCTCTCCCAGGCCAAAGCCTGGTCGGTTGGCTTGGGCCTCCCGAGGAGCTGGCGGGGGCCATGGGGACTGGGCAGCGCCGGCAGCGCTGGCAGCGCCTGCATGGGGGCTGCCCCCCAAACGGCCGGGCGTCGGGAATGGCCCCCGAGGCTTTCTGTCCACGCGCAGACACAGAAAGGCGGTGGCCCGGCCTGGGCAGTGACCAGCGTGGCCTTCCCCCATCCACATCCGTGGCCTGGAGACGGGTCTTCGGATGCTTCGTCCACCCCGCTGAGGCCGGTCAGGTCATCCACCTCCTTCCTGCTTGGGCGAACTTCGGCTGCACAAAGGCTTGGGACACAGACCCACAACAGGCCACCTACCATTCAGTTCCCTGAGGCAGATAATCCCGTTTCACCATCTTTTATTGGATACAAAGCCATAAGTTCTCCGATGCCTGTGTGATCCGTTTAAATACATACTCAGGTACATTCAGCAAAGGGCATCTATGGGTGACGTGGAGCAAAGTGCTGGGATGGTGATGCCTGGGTGGGGCAGAGAAGGGGGGCCAGTGCAGGCCCCCTGGAGGCTGGAGGTACAGGCACCACTTCAGAAATGAAACCAAAAAATTCTCTCCACCCCTCTGCCTGATGTGCTTGGGGTGGGGGAAGCTACCCTCTCACGGCTCAGGCCCCTTGCAGCCTGGCTGTGCAGGGAAGGCAGGGCCTGGGGGTCAGTTGTGGAGGTCCCACCAGCAGTGCCCACTAGAGCCAAGCCTCCTCGTGCCAGCCACGAGGCAAGCCTAGGACTCACGGTGGGGAAGCCCGCCTGATTGTCGGGGCAGTCTTGGGACTGGCCAGGTTCCCAAGGGTTTGGGGAGGGAATAGGAGCTGGCTGCCTTAGTTGGCCCTGGTGCTCTGATCTTCACCCAATTCTATACCATATTCTCAGGCAAGAGCTGCAGGACACACTTGTCCAGGAATAAAGACATACACACGATACACAGCAATATGTACAGAAACGCAGGCCTGGGACAAGGCTGGGTGAGGGGGCATGGCCACCAGGGCTAAAGAGATGTGCCAGGCCCCTAGGAGAGGGGCGTTCCACCCAACAGGGCCCGGCAGGCTGGGGCATGTCCCGTCGCTTTGAGTCAACTCTGGGCACTTGGGCCCTGTACCCACCCACCACCTTGCCTGTTATCACCCCAAGTCCAGCAGGAACTGGGTCTTTGGCACCAATAGTCACTCTGTTAAGGTCTTCAATTTAGCGCCTTAGAAGGACTGGGACCTGGGCAGCTCCCTTCTTGTGGCCCAAAGGTTTAGAAATGGGACCAGGTGAGCAGACAGGACCCAAAAGCAAAGGACAGAGCCAAACCTTAGAGCAAGGAGGTGGAGTTTTTTCTTTGAAGCAGGTCCCGAGGGGCTGGCTCAAACTCCACTCGGGAGCTAGGAAAACAAGAGCTGCCTTGGTCCTTCGGTGGGGTCTCTTCTGACCAGTGGAGAGCCCTGGTCCCGGGCAGCCCACTCGCTCTGGCATCCAGACACCGACAGCATCTCCTTTGTTCTCTGCCACTGTCGAGGCAGCTGAACAAAGCATGGTGAGACTCTCAAGCCAAGTATGCTGATCTGCCCAGGGGCTGGGGTCAAGCCGTGTGGCAGGGAAGTGGTAGGGGCACCAAGTGGCCACTACCCGTGCACCTTCTGTGCGTGCCTGGGCCCCTGGAGCAGGGCCTGCCTTGGTTTTGTCTCTAAACCTGTTTGCATCTTTGTTAGGAGTGAGATACGGGTGAGTGAAGGAGGGCTGGACCCTCCTCCATCCACGTCCCTGGCTGTATGGTTGCCCAGGTGAACAAAGGGACTTGGTAGGGGTGGGGATCTGCAAACCTGTCAGGTCTCGGGCAGGCACGCAGTCTGGGCCGCATGAGTCTGCCAGCCGCAGGGGCAGGTGTGAGGTGAGACATGCTGTACCCCACGTTCCTGTTGGCAGGAGCCCAGGCGTGTGCAACACAGACCCACACATCCTCCACTTGGCCAGAAAATACAGGGCAGGGACTCTGGGTTTTCTGGAAAAGCCAAACCCATGAGAAGCAAACTTCCCCCAGCAGGAGGGGCTTTGTTCCCCCTCTCTGCTGCCTGAAGTGCTGGTGGCGTGCAGCGCTGTCACACAAACGAACCACGAACGAGCCTACTGCTGGCAACAGCCCTTTTGGCAACCCCTTTCTCCCACTTCAGCTCACTGCCCATGCACCCTGACTTCCTTTCCCAGGGCTGATGTTGGCCATCCTGGTGGGCACCCAACCGAGAAATTGCCGAGTCTGTATTCTGGGATGGAGGCTTCCTAGGGCAGACTCTGGCCAAGCAGGGCATCCCTTTGTGCTTTGTCTGGGAGACAAGGAGGGCAGCACCTCTGGTCCTGGGGTTATGCAGAACAGGGGCTACAGAGGGTGCAAGTGGAAGGCAGGGCTGATGCACCCAGGGCACCCAGGCCCTAAGTGGACCTCCACCTCCCTTGCAGGCCAGCGAAGTTGTGCTTCTTCCCATGATTCCTGGGGACAGAACTGGAGGGGTGGGAGTCATAGAGCCAGCACCTCTGGGGTGCGGATGCTGCAAGGCCAAGGCTTCGTGCAGGACAGGACGAGGAGTTGCCAACATATTTGGGGTCTTCAAAGGGCAGGGCCAGAACAACCCATGGGAGGAAGTCATTGACAGTGAGAAGAGCAAGAGAGCTGGGTGGGGAGCCCTGGAACCTGGATGCATGGCTGAGTCTGGGCCCCCCTCTGGAGACCTCACTGTAGGGTAACCCAGGGCTGGGTCTTTATGTCCAAGCCAGGTTGTGGCAGAAAGTTGGGTCCCTGGGAAGCTGAGAAACTGGAAGAACCCAGCCCCAGCTGCCTAACAGGGCTGAAAGCCAGTCCTGCGCAGAAGAGAGGGAAACCCTTAGATCAATCTAAGTGAATGTCTGAAAGAACTTTCCAAATGAAGGTTGGCGAGACCCACGACCTTGGAGCCACTGTGGGAGTTCTGAGGAGGAACCGGGAGACCTGAGTCTAGAGCCTTAGTGCTGGGACCCTGTCCTACTGTGGGGACAGTGCCGGGTCGGTGAAAACCCCCCAGTGCGTTCTGTGTCTTCGAAGCCTAGTGGCTCTGGCTCGGGCCCCAGGGCTGCCCCCAGGCAGAAAACTCCCAACAGAACCCTCAACCCACGGGACCGGCGGAGACCGAGGAGGCAGCCAAGTCCAATGGAGGGTGTTCTTCCTCATCCCTGGCCCCACAGGCCTAGCTGCCTTCCGGGGCTACACCTTTCAGCATGCTAGCCAGACAGGGAAGCCAACCAGACCACCCACCCCCTGACCTCCCCCAGGCCCCAGCACAGAGGTCAGACTCCCTCCCGCACAGTCTTGGGGACCCAAAGGCCATCAGAGTCCTGTCCAAGCACCTGGATTAGGACATTCCTTGAGGACAGGAATTGCTTCTCATGTGTGACGGGGTTTCCCAGGGCCCCTCCAGAGGCTTGGGATTGCTGACAGGTACAGAAACATGCACCTCTCAGCTCAGACTTCAGCTTGGGTGTGTCGTGGGGTACGTGGTTGTTGGGAGGAGGGCTCTTGTCTGTGTTAGTAAAAACGTTATTTTTTCTTCCTGGCAATTTCCCTCTTTGGAAGGGATGGTCTCAAGTCCTGGGGAGAAGGTCTGGGTGAATGTTTTGCCTTTCCAAACCCACTCCCTCTCCCTCAGTGCATTCCCATCTCCCTGCCTTTGGCTGACCGCTTGCCCAGAGCCCTAGAGACCCTAGAGAATGTGTTTTGTCCCTATAGAATGTGGACTCAAAGCCCAGGTGGGCTGTCTGAGGGGGCGCCCCACAGACAGAGCAGGGTGCAGAGAAGAGCCCTCCTTACCAAGTCTGAGCTGCCTGGAGGAGACCCCTCTGGCCTGGGGCCCAGCAGAGGACCCGGACCGGAGGCCGGGCCCCAACAGCAGGTCTGCCAGAGCAGCCCGAGTGGCCAAGGAGCCACTGTGTGGTTATTGCAGATCCTTGGGGTGAAGACACCGGGTGCTGGTGGCACTCAGCTTCTCGCTGGCTGTGCCCCGAAGGCTGCTCCAGCTGGGTATTGGGTGACGGCCTGGGGGCAGCTTCTGTCCAAGCCCCTGCCCTGGGGAGGCAGTGCCCAGGGTCAGGCCTTCGCTCTGCTGTCCCAGGAGGACAGGAACTGTCAACCCTTCCCTGGAAGCCAGAGATAACACCAGGCCTCCGAAGGTCTAGTTCAAATCAGGGTCCCTCTGGAGGTCCAAAGAGAGTGCCCTGGTGTGGGGCTGGCAGGGGCCCTGCCGCCCCTCACCCGGGTTAGCAGCCGCCTTCCACCTTGATGTGCAGGATCTTAGAGAAGCCGGGTCTCCGTCGCAGGGCCTGCAGACCAGACCTGGGTTAGTATTTCTCGGGGTTGAATCCTCAGGGGCACACAGGGCAGGCCTTCCCATCACACACCCATTGCCAGTCCCAGCCTAGGGGCATGGGGTCTTGGGTGGCCTCAAAGGCAATTACTCACCTGAAGTTTAGTCACCATGTCTTCAAACAGCTTCTGGGCCTCAGGACTGCTGGGCTCTTTGAAATAATCAGCAATCCCAATCTGGACCACAATGGATTTGAGGTTCCGGCAAATGCCTGGGAAGAGGTAGGTAAGGTGCGTGCCTGTGTTTGGCCTGGGCAGTGGGGCTGCCGCCTTTCCTCTCACTAATGAAATCAGAACCCTACTGAGGGACAGTCAAATGCCAGGCCCTGGAAACACAGAGAGGAGGGCACACCCACGCTGCTCAGGGGCTCAACGGGGCAACGGGAGAAGGTGGAGGGTGATGTCGAAGACTGGAGGCTGCAGTGAACTCTGGGAGGATGAGCGGGCAACGGCTGTGCAGGGGCCCCAAGAAAGGATTCCCCCAGCAGAGGGGACAGTTGCACTATGGCCTGGGCATTCGGACGTGAGTAACAAAGGCTGAGCAGCTGAGGGGAGGCCGGTGGGTCTCGGCGGGAGAGTGAAAGAAGGGAGACAGAGAGCAAACGAGTGGGAGCAGAGGGCTTAAGGGACTGGATGTGCCCATGAAGTCAGGAGAGGAGGGGGGAGAAGGTCAGGAGGTGGAGCGGGCCCTGAAGGTCATGACTTCGAAAGCTGAGCAGTTAATTCTGATGGTCAGCCCAAGGCGAGGCCATGAGGCTGAAGGGGAGGGAAGAAGAGGATCCTGGAAATAATGTCAATAATGGGGTCCAGCCCAGGGTTCAATGGTCTTGGATGATGGTCTCACTCTATGGGTGTGAGAAGCACACACTGGGCACTCGTGCCCTCTCTGAAGGTGGAAGCATGACTGGAGACGGAGCGCGTGCAGGAGGGAGGCGGGGCCGCGGGAGGCGGGGCCACGGGAGGCGGGGCCACGGGAAGCCCGGCTTGGAGTCTAGACCAGGGAGAGGAGTCTTCCCTCTGAGAACTGTCCTCAGGGGCTCACACACCATCGAGTTCAACCCTCCCATCCATCCTAGAAAATCTGCTTAGGAGATGGGGAACAAAACTCAGAGAAATATAGTAATTTGCCCAAAGTCACACAGCTAATAAGCAGCAGAGTCAGAATTGAGCCAGGTCAGTAAAGCTCCAAAAACCTGTGCTCTTAACCTGTCTGTTCTCTCATCTCTGCCCCTGGCTCACACAGGGGGAGAAGGTGCTGCCTTGCTCCTGTCTCCACCATGAGTAGGAGGCAGGACAACAGATTAAGAGGGCGCAGGGCAACAGATTTCTGTTGAACTGAACTACTTGGACCAGATGCTGGAAGGCCCTGAAGGCCACGCTGAGTGCAGAAGGCACTGGTAGCAAAGCCGGGACTAGAACCCTGGTCAGTCTAACTCCAGCACTGGTGCTTGCTGACTAGGAGTGACGAGCCGCTCGTTATACTTCTTGCTGATCAGGTCGTACCCCACCCCGTGTGCCAACCCCTCCGCTCACTGTTGAAATGCAGCAGGGCCTTGGGGGTGACGGGGGTGGCCGTGAGCACCAGCATCTCGAGTCCCTTCAGGCCTTCCCGGCAGACCTCAGCCGCCACCTCCTGGGTGATCTCCGACACGTGGTCCAGCTCCAGGACCTGCAGCCGCATGCAGTTTCTTGCTAGGAAGAGGGAGGAAGGGCGAGGGCCCGCTGCTGAGCTCTCCGGGGCGCCTCCTGCCCAGCGCCCTAATAACGCTCCCGCCACCACCAGGCTGCAGCCCGGAGCTCCTCTGAGGTTTCCGTGTCGCACCCGCGCCCGCTTCCCCCCAACCCCCACCACGGTCCCAAGGGAAGACTCACCGAGTGATGCCAGGCCCTGCACCCCGCAGCCGGCGCCCCCAACCCCCAGGGCCCTGAGGTGGGGCCAACAGCGACCGATCATCTGCAGGCAGCGGTTACTGAAGCGCGTGGGCTGCTGGCTGGACAATGGGGGGGGCAGGGAAGGTCGTCAGGAAAGCATATGGTTGCACGACACCCCAAGCCTGCTCCTCCTTCAGGCTCCCCCTTGGGTGCCCTTGCCCACCAACTTCCCCAGCTGCTTAAATCAGGAACCTGGGGTCATCCCTGACTCCTCCCCCCTCACCTCCTGCCAACCCACGGATTCTGATTCCCAAATAAGTCTTCAACCTACAGTTCGGACCACCATCAATACTCATCTGGATTATAACTAGACTCCCTGTCAATTCATCCCCCACGCTGCTGACAGTGAGCCAGTCATTCCTACTTTCTCTCACTCAGTCATTCAACAAATGGTTCTAAGGGTCTATTACAGCCAAGAACAACTGAGCTAGGCCCCGGGGGCATGGTGGTGACAACACAGACATGGTCCCTACCCTGAGGGAGTGGACAGTGAGCTGAAGGGGGAGGGGGGACAAAGCATGTTACCTGCCGGATGTAATTAAGGTCTAAAATCCCCCAACTGCTTCCCAGCACTTTCTAGATAAAATACAAAATCTAAACCCCAGAGGCGAGGCCTTCCTGACCTTACCTCAACCTGCCTTTCCCCACTCACTGCTCGGCTCTGCCCGCCACTGCTCACCACTCACACCAAACTTGCTGTTTCCCTGAACACTAACTCGCCCAGGCCACAGGTATCACCTGGGCATCTGTGGCACACGTGGCATCCGGGACATGGAAATGGACATTTACAGCCTCTGCCCTGAGAACTGTGAGTCTTATGGAAACTGAAATACTGAGAAACTGTCGCAGAACAGACTAGGGCAGGAGTTGGGACAAGGTGCGGTAGGAATGGCAGCGGGAGAGCAGTGACGAACTCAACTAAGGTGCTGCTGGTATTACTGGAGAAACACTGGAGGACCTGGGGGGAGATGCCACGTGAAGACAGGGCTTGCTGCCAAGGCACAGGGAGCAGACAAGCCTGACACGTTTGAGGGGCTCCGAGGACAGCCACGAGTGACCTCACGCCCTGCACTCTCCACCAGCAAGCTTTTTTGTACGCAACACACCGATGGCCCTGAACTGCCTTTCACGTGCCAAATCGAACTATTTGCTTTTCTAGCTAGTATTTACTCACCACTTACTGTGGGCCCTGCAGGCTTTGGGGACACACCTCCTTTGAGCTACCAACAGTCCTAATAAGGTCAACAGATCCCTAATATCACCTTCACTTTGCAGGCTGAGAAACTGAAGCACTATTGGGTTGTGCAAAGTCGCACTGCTGGTAAGCCAGGACATGCCCCTGGGTCTGATTTTAAGCCTTGCACCTAACACTCAAATGCACAGGTTGATGAATGTGAATCTGTCTCCCAAACCAGCTGATGGAGTGGGCCCAGATCTGCTCAGTCCTCAGCCCCAGGCCCCACCCAACTCTGTCCCCTCCTCACCCTTGCCAGGGCTCACCAGGGGTGAAGTGGCGCCACCTGGAGGGAGACAATCTCTCTGCAGCCCGCGCCCAGGGCCCAAATGACCTCATGGCCAACGGGATCTGTGGCGCTCCTGTTGAAAAGACAAAGCTGGGGCCACCCACCCTGGTGGCCTCTGCTCCCTTCTCTGGGGCCACAGAGCTCTTGGGTTCCTCTGCCTGAGCGCCCAGGGGAAGGGTATGCAGAGCCCCAGGATTCCTTGGGCCCAAAGGCAACCCTCTGGGGTTGCATCTGGTGTGTCAGACCTACCTGTAGGTGACCGCCTGCAGGGCACGGCAGTAGCAGCTGGCCAGCCAGAGCGAACGGTCGGTGAGGATGTTGGGACAGTGGGAGATGCGCAGGATCAGCAGATTGCCCCCTGCAGCCTTCAGCAGGGACTCCAGCCCTGCTTCCAGGCAGCCGCTGGGGATAAGAGGTCAGGGGGTACTCGTACCCACCTACTGCTCTGGAAAGCATCCCCATGTACTTCTGGGTCTGCACCCCGGAGCACCCACCCACCACGGCCTCACCGGGTGTTTCGGGCATACTCCTCCTTGCTCTCCTTCTTGCCACGCTGCCGAGGCTTCAGGTTCTGCAGTGTCAGTGAGTGGGCCTGTGTGCACCACTGAGCCAGCATTGCCAGGAACTGCAAAGAGAGAGGGGTCACCTGGGGGTGAGGGGCTGGCTGGAGGTGGACCAGCTCCAGGGTAGGCGGCCCCATGAGAACATTTTGGAAAGCCGGCAATATGCTGGAGAAGGTGAGGGGTGGAGGTGAGTTCACAGCAGGGATGAGTGGGTGGGCAGGGGCAGGGGGCAGAGACAGGCACCTTGGAACAGACTCGGGCGTTCTCGAGCAGCACCCGCGTCCAGACGGCGGGGTGTCGGGCCACAAAGCGCCAGTCCCGGCAGACCTCGGCGGCATGCAGCAGCGTGCGTGTGTCCAAGTAGGTGAAGATGCAGAACAGAGCGGCTCGCATCTTGAGGATCTCCGGGCTGATGACCTCGTTGGAGCGTGAGGGGCTGCCCCTCTCTGCTCGGCGACCCCGCCCACTGCCTCCCTCCGAGCGGGCTGCACAATACCAAAGGGTCAAAGGTGAGTGTGGAGGGTCAAAGGCCAGCATAGGGATGTGGGTGGGGAGCTAGGGTAGGTTAGGAGCTATAGGAGGAATGGGCATGAGAGACCCATGCTGGGGGACCAGCGCCTCGGGAGGGAGGGCAGTAGGCCTCTGCTGCCCCTCCTTTGCAACATTCCCATCCCTCATTTTGTAAATTTAAAAAAAAAGGGCAGTCTTTCCTCAAATAAATCCTTTTTAAGGTACTATATCGTCACATAGTCTAAACTCACCCCCTAGATGAGGCAACTGAGTCAAGTTTAGAGAAGGAAAGGGTTTGGAGGGCCACGGCACAGGACAGAAACGAAGCCTCTGCGAACAGAAGGCAGGTGAGAGGCTGCGCGAAGCGGTCACAGAGATGAGAACCCTCTCACCTGCACATACGTGCATGGCCCTGTCTGTGTGCTGGAAGGCACCCTCCGCAGCTGCTCTAGGGCCTCAGAGTCTGGAGTCAGCTACTCCTGTAAATGGCAGTGAGCCTACCACATAAACAGGCCCCTTGGATGTGGCATCTTTGTGCAGAACCAGCACTGCCCTGTCACTCAACTTCCCGCCCCAGGGCATGCAGGGAACTGTGTGGGAACTTGTCGTTCTCATCGTGGGAAGTCTGGGGCAAGGGGAAGGTGGTACAGGAGCCCGAGAGGTGTATGGCCTCGGCCCTCTGTCTGTTGGCAGGGCCTGTACCTGGGAAAGCCTGGCCTCTCTGCCCACCCTCCTAGGACTCACCTGAGAGCCGGCAGCTGCTCAATGGCCCAGCCATAGCAGGCCCAGGGTGGGGGACGTCTGAGGGGCCCTCAGCCTCTGACTCGGTGGTTCGGGAGCCCACATCCGAAACATCACCCTCCTCCCCCTCCGTGCTGTGTCGGCGGGGTCTGCGCTGCCAGTTTTGAATGGCCTGGCGCCGCAGGCCTGAGCTTCGAGGGGCCTGAGCCCGCTCTGAGCCACCGTTGGCATTCTGGGTCCTTGTGCCCAAGCCCCCAGGCCCACTGTCTTCAGGCGCCCCCTCTTCTGGTCGGGGCAACTCCAGACTGTCACTGTCATAGCAGCCTGAGCTCTGGGACACAGCTGGGACACGGCTGGAGGCCCTGGGGTGGACCAGATGGTAAGGAGTGAGGAGAGAAAGGCATCAACACTGCCCAAACTTCCCATCCCACCCCTATCGCCAACCGAGGGCAACCCGCCCACCCTACTTTCCAAGAGCCCCCTCTGAATGTGGAAAAGCAGACAGACAGAGGTGACCCAAGGAGGATGGGGAGAGGAGGAGCCACGCCTCCAGACAGGTCAGCCATCCAGCGGGCCGATGGATCTTTCCCAGGGGAGGGTGGGCTGTGTGGGGCAGGCTGGGCCTGAGGCTTACCCTGTGCTGGGAGAGGAGCCATGCCGGGACACTGCGTATGTGCTAGGCATGGCCAGGCCCACGTGGTGCTCTCGCTGTGGGCCCCCAGAGCGGGAGGGAAGGCAAGGGGGCCAGAGGAAGCAAGAGAATGAGAAGGAGCAGGTGAAACAGGGTGAAAGATTGACAGAAGAGAAGAGAGAAGAAGGAAAAAAAGTTGGGAAAGATGGACAAATAGACAGACAGCCCAGAGAGGTGGGCTCACCAGCCCCCTGCACATCCCCACCCAGCCCCCCAGCCCCGGCCTGTGGCTCCTGGGCTCTCATCTGCAGGGATGGGCCTCTGAGTCACATCTTCCCACAGCCTCAGGGGCCTGCCCACTGCGGTTTCAGAGGGGCTCCCCTGTTCCTGGACCCCCTACTTCAAGCCTAGAGTATGCGCATGGGGAGGACCCGAGGAAGGGAGCATTGCAGGGGATGTCGGTCCACACATAAGGGGTTTCTGGAAGCTGGGGTGTGGGTGGAGGAAAGAAGGCAGGTGGGCACTCACCATTCGGCCTGGGCCCCGGGGCGCAGGCCCGGCGCCGCTTCCCCCAGCTCCACGGCCCAGGCTGGCACTTGGTGTGCTGCCGCAGCTGCTGCTGATGACCTGCAGCTGCCGTTCGGCGCGGTCCGCCCGCTCCAGGAGCTCCTCGATGAACTGCTGCAGCCGCAGCTTGGCGCTGGCTTCCCGTGCCGCTGTCTCCTTCAGGAACTGGTCGATCTGCACCACCTCCCTGGGCCCAGAGCAGTCTCTTACCCCAGGGCCTCGGGCTGGCTGCTCACCCCCCCCTCTGGAGGACACCCTGGCCAGTGGGGAGTGACAAGGGCATAACTGCCCACAATGTCTGCTTACGGTCACATGGGTACACGCAGAACAGGCCCAGGCACACTGTCCCACACAAAGGCACACACAGAAAGGCCAGCATATACTCCGAGTCACCGACTCACACCCCACCCATCCAGCTGTACACACACTACTGGACACACCTGCTCCCTGCGGACACACTCACAGGCATACTCAGTCACACCCAGCCACTTCCCTCCTCCAGACACTCTCACAGACATACAAGCACACAGCAAAGTATGCCAAGTCCAATGCACAGCCACACACTGACACGTGTACTCACAGCATGTTCACCCATGGACACACTCAGTCTGAGACAGACAGCCCCACCGACACCCTCAAACACTCGCCCCACACATACCACGCACATTTGCAGAAACACTCTCAGGTGCAGAAGCACACTTCCAGAAGCACAGCCACCCTCCAGAGGCTGCACGTACCCACAGCACACTTAAGAGTCATAAAAGTATTTACTCCTAGCCCTGGCTGGTGTAGATCAGTGGATTGAGCGCAGGCTGTGAACTAAAGGGTCGTTGGTTCAATTCCCAGTCAGGGCACATGCCTGGGTTGCAGGCCAAGTTCCCCGGGGGGGGCCACATGAGAGGCAACCACACACTGATGTTTCTCTCCCTTTCTCCCTCCCTTCCTCTCTCTCTCTGAAAATTAAAAAAATAATAATAAAATAAATAAATAAAATCTTAAAAAAAAGTATTTACTCCCAAGTGCATTCAGAGTTGTTCGTGCATCCACTTAACACTGACTGAGCACCTTCTTGGTGCCAGGCACTGTTCCGGGCATTGGGGGCACAGCGCTGAACAAAGCAGAGGACAATCCCCGCCCCCATGGAGCTTATCTCGCTATGAGGGCAGATAAATAACACCTACACGTTTCATAATTCCACACTTAAAGGCCAGAGAGATAAGCAGGAGCCCCAGAGACGGAGAAGGAGCAGACAGCGGGACAGAAGGAGATCCCGGGTGAGTGGGACACTCCGAGGGAAGCTGAGGGAAGAAGTGTTTCCAGATCGGCCGTGTCAAGTGCTGCTGCCAGGCCATGTGTGACGATGGCTTGGCCTTGGCAACGGGAAGGTCACCGGCGACATGGAGGACGGTGGTGGAGGTGGGCACCTGATCAGAATGGGTTCAAGAGAGAACGTGGGGGAAGAAATCAGAGAAGAGGATAAACAATATTTTAAAGAGTTGTTTTGCAAGGAGAGAAAAGGGGCAGCTCAAGGAGGAGGCAGGGCTGTGGCAGATGGAGATTGTGTTTGTGTGCTTTTAGGGATGAGAGGGTAGATAGGGAAAATCTGATGAAGGCAGAGAGAGAGAGGGGAGAATTGAGTGGGCAAAAAGGGAAAGGACCCGGTGCCACACATAATGTGGGAGCTGGCCTCGGCTAGAGCAGCGGACGGAGAGAAACAGTCCTCACAGACAGGCACTGGGGCACGCTGCCATGGACTCGACACACATCCTCGTGACACTCGGCCCCACACTCACCACCATTACGTGCTCATGGCCACAGATCCCAGATGCCAAGGCCACAGACACAGACACACATTGCCACACTCAAGAAGGTGGTAACGGCACAGTGACACACAGGGTCACCCACTCAGGAACATTCGTGGGCACGTGACCCTGCGGACCACTCACTGCTGCTTGCGGCTCAGCTCCTGTTCCTTGTGCACGAGGTCCTGCTTGAGAGAGGCCAGCAGTTCCACACTCACGTCCACCTGCCGCGAGAGCTCAGAAGCTCGCTCCTCCAGCTCCTCCTTCTCGCGCCCCAGCCGGGCGCTCTCCTGCCTCGCAGTCTCCAGCTCAGCAGCCTTGCGCTCCAGCTCGGCCTGCAGCCGGCCTACCTGGCCTGCGATCTTCTGCTCCACCTCCTCGCTCAGCCTCTCCAGTCGTCGGTCCACCTCCAGCTTCTCCAGTGCACGGATCTTGAGTCGAGCCAGGCCTTCCTCATAAGCCACATCGGCAGGTGAGGGGGAAGCAGGCGAGGCGGAGGTGGGCCCAGGGCAAGGGCTGGGGCCGGGCGGCGGTGTGGAGCACGCGGAGGAGGCCACCGACTTGCGGGCGAACAGCTCCCCCAGAGGGATCTCGATCTCGCGCAGGGCATAGCGCGCGGCGGCGGCGGGCACGAGGCCGGGCTCCGCCAGCTCCTCACAGGGCAGGCTGGCGGGCACCAGGTCCCCGGGGAAGTGGGCGAGGGGCGCGTGGTGGTGGTGGTGGTGCAGCAGGTGGGGCGTGGCGGGCGACGGCCCGGCCGCCTGCTCCTTGCCCTGGAAGGACGTGCTCTCGAAGACCTCGCGCCGGGCGCCGGGCACCGCCAGCAGGGCGGCAGGCTCGGGCGCCAGCGGGAAGCCGGACGCCGCGGCGGCCGCGGCCGCGGCGGCCGCCCCGTCGCAGATGCTGTTGGTCTTGGAGAGGATGTAGAGCGTCTCGTAGGTGTGGCTGTACTCCAGGTGCGCGCGCAGCGACGACAGGCTGCGGAAGCGCTTGTGCTCCCCGCAGCGCGGGCAGCGGTACGGCAGGTCCAGCGAGGCCATGGCCCCGCCGGCCCCGGGGCGTGCGGGCTCCACCGCGGCCGCCCCGCCGATCAACCGGGCGCACTCATGGGGGGGCCGTGGACGAGCCCCCCTGTGGGATCAGGAAGGCTCAGGGACCCGCAGCCAGGGGCGAGGAGGCTAGAAGAAAGGGAGTAAATCTTAGGAGGGGGTGTCCCTGTTCCACTCTTCGCACCTCGTACCCTCCCCCACCCCTGAGGAAAGTGACTTCCCTAGAAAACAGGTGGCCCGAAGAGAGGGCCGAGGGGGAAGACCCAGGGCCTAACCCCCCAGAGGGCGCTGGCCTGCCTGCTCTGGAACCTGTGCGAAGGCCTGTACATGTACGAGGATGAAAAAGTGAGAATTCTTTAAGGGAAAAAAAAAAGGCATCTGCTTTATTTACAATAGTTCCAACCTGGACATAACCCAAGTGCCCATCCATCACCAGTAGAATGAATAAAGTGTGGTATATTCATAATGGAATATTACCCAGCAATAAAAAAGGAACCATTGATACATATGACAACATGGATGAATCCATTCAATGTTGTTACACGAAAGAGGCCAGACCAGAGTGCAAACTGTAGGATTCTGTATATGTGGAGTTTCAGAACGGACTGAATTGGAGATACCAAGTCAGAACAGAGGTTGCCCTGGTTGGCTCTACGGACTGGAAGGGGCAGGATGGACACTCATGTGACACAGGTATATGCATATACACATAGTCAAGCTGTGCACTTAAGACTAGTGCACTATATGTACTTGATTGTTCACATTACATCTCAAAAAAATCTTTAAAAGAAGATGCTTATTTCCACATCACGCAAACCACACCCATAAAACAGCCCGGACCATTGACACCACATTGCAGTGACCACGATGTCCGCCTCACCTGGTAATGCCTCTGCGTGCGTCACTGTTTCTGCCTCTCCTTCTGGGCCACACTCCCGACCTGGCCCTCCAAGCACCCGGTGCTTTTCTCAGGTTTCTCCAGGATGCAGCCCTGCCCTGCCCTTTGCTCCAAGGGCCACAGTATTTGTCCCCCCCAGGTCCCTTCTGGCACAAGCCACCGTCTTTTCTGGAATCCCACCCCTGGTCACCCTCAAAACCCACTGTCCATCCTCCATCACCTCTGGCTTCTGGCCATCCCCCCCCCCGCCCCCGTCTCGTGGGGTCTCTAGCCCATTCCTCCCTGCAGTCCTCTTCCTAACTGCCTGCCATTATTGGGTTTCAGCCACCCTCTGCCATCCGCCAGATCACAGGCCACCTGCCAGTCAGGCAATTCAGTTGTCATCGGGAGTCTTCACCCACTTGGTCCCTTGGCTGATACTCCTGACCCCTCCATCTTCGTAGGCTGCCATTAAGGCACCTGGTTTGAGTTCTCTGACCTCCTCTTCTTGCTGCCTTCTGAATTGTCCTGTCTCCTGATGGGAGGGCTTCACATGCCCTTCGCTTCTATCTTCTCCCCAGGAGTTCTGGTTCACCCCCACGGGTTAACTCACACCTTAAATCTATTAAGGCTCAGCTCTCCATCCTGACCTGCTCTTGAGTTCCATTTGCTTTGGCATTTCCACGTGGAAGTATGGGTGTGTGATGTCTGTTCCCCGTGCAGCCCAGCACCCAGTCCTCCTTCTGAGAACAGCACCCTGCTTTGACCCTGGGGAACCATTCTCCCTTTCCCACTTTCTCAGTCCATGCGGTCTGGATGGGGGGTTGACGGTCCATCCCTGGCTTCAGAGGTAAGAATGTGATATAGGCCGATCAGAGGCTTGGGATGGACACATATTGCCCGAGTTGAATCAATGAGTCTTTTCTCATTGAGTTACTGAGTTACTTCTCCAGGACATCTCTGGAACTACTGGGGAAAGCATCCTCTTTGGGCTCAGGTTTCTAAGCTGATGGGGAGGACCAGAGCTTTGAGGGCCATCTTTGGGAGGAACCACCAGAGAATGAAGCCAACACAAAGAAGTAGAACTGAGATGGAAAAAGAGAGATTCTTCACAGACACTTCACAGATGCTGGTCTGTTCGATTCTGTGAACCAATCAATTCCCTTTTTCGTTTAAGCCAGTTGGACATGGGTGTGTATTACTTGCACCAGGAAGAAGTCCTAGCCCAGAAATTAGAATCAGGAATGGAATTTTTAAAAGTAATAGGCCCCGAGAAGGAGCTAGCTGAACTCAGGAGAGGAGTCAGATAGCACCGCTCCACCCACTCGGAGGTCGGCGAGCCCTGCCGCACAGCAGCAGAACATCTGGCCAAGTTCTCCCACTGCCTCTGGGGCCCAACCGATGTTCCCACCAAGGCCGAAATTTGGGGAGACTTGCACAAAATGTCACAGTGTTGGGTGTGACCTCCAGAAGGTCCAATAAGAAGGAGACACACTGGCCGCAAGGGGTCCATCTGAAAGCAGACAGGGAGGAAGTGCTGCTGTGCCCACAGAAGCTTTTTTTGCCTGAGGCCAGTAATCCAATATGGCTGAGAGTCAGATAATTAAGAGCCAGTTCTCTGCTTCTAGCTAAAGTCAGGTCAAGCAAAGACGGGGAGGCTGGGAACACAGAGGGAGACAAAGCTGGGGCCTGACGGACTCTTAATTCCCAGACCCTCCTGAACCTGCTGGGCCCTCCCAGCTCAACAGAGGCAACCATCGCTTTCATTATAAGCAGCCTCCCACTGGGATGCAGCTTGAGTGGGAAGGGGCAAATGAACTGTTGCCTCCCACCCTGGGGTAGGGATTTGAATTGCCCTGTGGCAGAGGCCTAGCTAGAGGCCACAGAACCATGGGCTCCTGGGATGCGCGGAGCACCAAGGCCTGTTGCTAAGAGACAACCCCTCCTCCTTCCCCAACACCATCACCAGGGACTCGATTCAAGAATTATAACTTCCAGTGAGGTCTCTAGTTTGGTTAATAGCTCTGGGGATGACTGAATGCAAATTGACTGAAAGCTTCCTAATGATGAAGGGAACTGTACTGCCAGAAACAAACAAACCAACCCACAAACTTGGAAAACAAAGGCCGGGGAATACTGGCTCCTATAGTTGCCCAGCCACCAAACCTGCACCAATGGGAGGGGACTCCTCAGGGTGCCTCAGCGGCCACAGAGCACAAAGGACAAGGGTGGCTGCCTGAAACAGCAGACCCGGAACGACCAACAGAGGGCCAGGGAAGCGTGTCCTTGCCCGCTGGCGGAGCACCTGCAGCCCGCTGCAGACTTGTGTCCACTGAGCACTTCCCCTCATTTCCCTCTTCACCCGGGAGGCTGTTTGTTCTTTCAGCTGTCAGCGTCTTCCTCCGTCACTGCAGTCTGGTCGTGCTTTGAAAGACCATGTCAGGCTAGCTCAGTCCCTTGCCAGACGGCCCACCGACAAGATCCTGAAGTGGGGCTGGGTGTGGTAACTGGGTGAGAACTTGGAGCATCTCCTTCCAGAGATAGGACCATGTGTTCTAAGTTCTGTGAGGGATCGTTGCATTATGGCAAACAAATTTTAAAGATCTTATGGGGGCAGGGTCTGCGCAGATCTTGGACAGCACAAAGGTGGAATTCGGGGCGTGTACCGTTTGCGCTGCTCAGCTCCAGTTTCTCTTTGTGGGCAGACCCCCAGTGTTCCCTGGGAGAAGCACTCCCCCAACTCTGAATGGCTGTTTAGGTACCCCTGATCCCACCTCCTAGCTCCAGGGGAGCACCTGTGACCTCAGCCGGTCCTCAGTCACAGCGATCATTCGGTAACGGGCCAATTCAAGGACCTGTGCTCAGCTGGCAGAACTAAGCCTGGATCTGCCTGTGGCCATTTCTGTCCTCTCTTTGGAGAACAAAAAAGACTTCTGGTGCCATCCCTTGAGCATCCAGATCCAGATGTGCCTGAAACTTTAACCCAAACCTTGTCAATTGTGAAAGACAGCGAATTCTTTTTTAGCTTAAAGCATTTGAATTGGTTGCCAGTCACTGGTGTAGAGAGTGTAGACTAATACAAAGACTCACAGTGTCAAAAAAACCCCCAAAACCCGAACCCCACACAACCTTGGACTTCCTCTCGCCCACTCCCCGGCACCCCTGTTTCCTCCAACAGTGCCACTGTGCTCCCAGTCGCACCCTACCCACCGGCCGCTGTGATTTGGCTCTCTCTGCTAACCATCGAGACCCGCTGATTTTGCACGCTTTGTGTTTCTCTGGGCCACTGCCTCCTCACACCTGGACTGTGGGCCCAGCTTTGGTCTCACAGCTCTGTTCCATCCTCTACTAGGCAGCAGACCCCTCTGTCTACAAACAATTCCTGCTCTTGCTCTTTCAAGGGCTGCCCCATCATCTATTAACTGAAGTCATACTCCTCAGCCTCACTGTGCTCCTGCCAATTTGAACATGAAAAATGGCCTGGTTGTTCCACTTTGCATTTCTTTGATTACTATGGCTGGACATTTTTTCACACATTTATTAGTCATCTGCATCACTTGGTGACTTGCCTGTGCATTACTTTGCTCATTTTTATATGGAACATTCATATTTTCTTATTGATTTGCCAAGGCTTTTTATTATATCGATCCTTTGTCATTGATATACTACCAACATTTTTTTCAAGTGTGTTGATTGGCTTTTACTTTTATTTATGGTCTTTATGGACATACTAACGTTTCAAGTTTGCTTCAGTAAAATCTTTATGATTTCTGATTTTGTTATCATGCTTAAAAGGTCTGTCCCTACCCAAAGTTTATACATGAAGTTACTATGGCCCCAGCTGGTGTGGCTCAGTGGATTGAGTGCCAGCCTTGCAAGCTGAAAGGTTGCCGGTTCATTTCCCAGCCAGGGCACGTTCCTGGGTTTCGGGCAGGTCCCTGGTTAGGGGTGTGCGAGAGGCAACCAATTGATGTATCTTGCACATCGATGTTTCTCTCCCTTTCTCTCTCCCTCCCTTCCCCTCTCTCTAAAAAGTAAATAAATAAAATCTTTAAAAATTTATGTATGTTTTCTTTTAGTTTTTGTGATTCTTTTTTGTAAAAATACAAAAAAT